GTTTTAAATACCTTGAAATCACAAAACTCACAAATCCGTAATAGTTGCTGTTGATCATAATGGGACTACGCTGACGCAAGTACACAAACTCCTCCCACCAATCGGTAACCTGAATTAACGAAATTGCATTGCCTTGGTGAATAGGCTTACAAAAAGAAAATTGCTGACATAATTAGTGCTGAGCCAAGATTTGAGCGTGAGGTATCTTTGCAAGCGACGTCCGACACCCTTACGGAAGACTTCCGTAAGATGTTCCAGCTCTGCAAACTCCTCGTCATTCAGAATTGGTTTCATTGAAAGCAGATGCTTAAAAGAATCATTACAAGAGTATATTAGTATGCAAGCATCAAAGGGTGAGCAAAGATAGCACATACCCTTTCCAAGGTTTCTTCCAGCGATGGAAGAGGCAGATGTGGTAGAGCTCCTTGGTATGAGTGAAGCATTGGTCCAGACATTGACATGAGTTTCAAAATGCCCTAAAGAGACAGTGGGATAGCTAGATTATCATTACAGGCATTTTTTCCCGGATCTAATAGATAAAAAGGCTTCAATTAGGCCTCCATTTCGGCATCTTAGCCTTTGTCAAAGCTTAAAATGAACAAAAAACGTCAAAGGTGAACACGTCGAAGCGTCACCCAACATGCCTGCGCTCATACTTTGTGCCAGTGTTTTAGCGTTTTGAGCGACTAGGAAAGGATAGATATCGATCCTGCGTTCTAGCCTACACCAGCATTTTCAGCGACTGCCCGCAAAACGCGCAAAGCGCTTGCCAACGCTGAAAACGCTAGACCAATATCTACATTTTCCTAGCTGAAAACGTTCAAAACGCAGATGCAAAATATGGGACGCAGCCTAAAGCTATCCAATCTAGTTAAGCTAAAAGAAGTACGAGAACGACATTCATCAAGCCAATATTGCAAGTAAAGTAGCACATGAAATAATATGATCATCGAATGGATAGGGCAGCGTTCACACTTCAATCGGGAGAATCTTTGATTCCGGTGATTCGGCGATATAGAAGAAGGAACTAAGGAAATGATCAATTAGCTGATGGATGTCAGTCGATTCCTACCTAATCCTTTGCCGCGCGTTATCCTTGAGCCGCGTTCATACTTTGCGACTGGCAATTTGGGCAATTCCACCATTTGAAAGACTCCGCTCATTGAGAGATTGAGCGACGGCGGAAGTATATGTACCGTTCTGCAGAGATTAGCGATCATTCGGGAGACTCGGCATTTCCGGTGATTGCGCGTCAAATGAGTGGATTTATATTGATCGGCGCCGGTCGCCAGCGATCGCTAAGACGCCAGATCGCCGAATCCCCCATATCGCAGAACCTCCCAAATCCCGAATCGCCACCGCGGTCGCTAGCGACCAGCGCCGTTCGACCTTGATCCACTCCTTTGGCGCGCAATCGCCGGAAACGCCGAGTCTCCCAAATCGCCGGATCGCTCAATCTCCGCAATCGCCAGATCGACACCTATACTTTGCTTACCGCGCAACTCTTCAGTTGCCAAATCTCCTCACAATCAGTCGCAAATTATGAACGAGGACTATTTTTGGATTTCCCGAAATTCGCGGATTCTTCAATGCAGGGAGTATGAAGGCGGCTTGGCTGACGATACTCACCAGCCATAATTTGGTCGGCTTCGAAATCGGCTTCCCAGGTGTTTCGTACATCCAGCCCTTATAAGACAGCAGCAGTTTGATGCTCAACCGTAACAGTTGTACGAGCACGAACCAAATAAAGGCTCCAGAAATCAAAAGTGAAATGAAGAATGCGAGATATCCATCACTGGAAAAGAAAATAATAAGTAGTGCAGTACCATTTGAGTGCTTTCATAATTCCCATCACCGTTTTGAGCGTACGGCAGCGTTTGAGCACGCACCAGCGCTTCCAGCGACAGCCCGCAACCCCCCCCCCTCCGGAAAGGCTCGAAATGCTGCTGTACGCTCAAAACGCTGAAAAGCACGAACACTCTCGAGGAAATGTTGGACTTACCCGAACAAAAAGGAAAGAATATAGTATTCGATAAAAGGTAATATGCCGAAAGACAAATCGCGACGAAACATGGAAAACAGTGAGATGGCTCCGATGACAATGGAAATTGTGACGTGATTAGCGGGAAACATGCCAGCCATGAAGTTATTCTAAAGACAAAAATTACTGCAATAATAAGAAAACCAGTAAAAAGTTAGTAACCTTGAATCGACCAATTCTTCTTTTGTATCCTCGCTGGAAGGAATGCCAAAGGTCACGGAGAAGCTCCTGATCATAGCTGACAGAGACTCCATCGTGAGTGACTGAAAAACATGAGTACTAAGTGGAGATGACAAATGCATGCTGCTTTAAAAAGCCCCACGCCTGATATAGAGACCCATAAAGCCAATTTCATACATTGCAAATATAGAAGACCAATTTGGGAGAATGCGCGATTCGAGACAATCGGTGACAAAGGTATTTATCAACGTCAACGCGTTCATACTTTTAGGCTGAGGTGATTCGGCCGGCGCCGATCGTTATCCATTCAGCACGCAGTCCCTAATACGCCGAGTCGCTCAAAACGCTGGATCGCCCATTCTCCAAAGTCGCCAGTTAGATACCACATTTTTCTCCTCGCGCTACCTCTCAAATCGCCGATTCCCCTGAGTCGGTCAGTCTAAGTATGAACGCGGCCCAGGTAATAATACTATACAACCGCGTTTCCTAACAACTCTCAAATCTCAAATAATCGAGAATGCGCAAAAAAATACGAAATCGATCGCTACCTTCCCGAATCGCACGTTCATACTTCGCCACCTGAGTGCCCAAACAGCGTGCTTCGCGGGCTCATGTCGCGAACTATAAACACCCTTTCAATGACTTGTGCATTCTCCGCATCAGTCGATTCCCATCAAGACCTTTGTATCAGTCACAGTCCGAGTCACGACCAATGGGTGATTCCATATAATTTAAAGTAAATATGAATAAGATTTCACAACCTTATACATTCCAGAGCTACTCTTTACTTTTTTACTTTACTCGAGCCTTTCAATGGACACGCAGAGAGTAATGAGTTATATACCACTATTGCCTTACCCAACCTTCGAACATATACGACCATTCGGCTTCGCATTCCCCCCCCCAACATGTCATTCGCACACACGCAAAAAATTTCAACAGCACGATGATGTGCACTGTCGCGTTACTCCTGCTCGACACTGGAAAAATTCTGCATTTGTATGTAGCTGTATAAATTATGTGTACAGGGTGTATAATGCTCAATTGAAAAACAACAGCTCGTCGATCATTGATCGCTTCTTGCACACCAAAAGCGCAGTCTGTACGTCTTTAATTCTGCATATCAAGTGAGGGGAAAATCTATTTTTTCCAGTTCCATATAGTCACACAGTGGTACTCCTGGTTAGAGAAACCTGCTTGATAGGATCATTGAAGCCTCTACACACTCCAAAGTAATCGGAGCTCAAAGCGCAGGTTCAGGAATACATTCCAAATTTTATCATGTGAAGTTCATAATTATCATATGGTCTTGTTCGCTGCGGACGTCGGGAGTCTCAGGGAAGGGGGTGGGCTGGGACAAGCCTGCGCTCTGGGCGTGGAACGTTACCTTCCCGTCGCACCACAGCGGCAGTCAAGATGGTCGACGCGCCATAGAACTGGTACGTTGAAAGGATTGGGTCCTGAAAAGAATGTTGCGACGCCACATCGCTTGCAACCACTATTTCGCTGCGACTCGGAAGTTATGCTTCTTACCAGCACGCGCGCATCTACTGACCTCGGCGCCCGGGAAATTCGGTATGAAAGAAACCCACAGTTAGGGAAGGTTGTGGACCGTAACTTCAAATAATTTTCTGAAGAATCAAAGAAAGGAGAAGCCTTGGTTTAGTGGTGAAATTCTCGTGGTATCCCACGTCGCGCGAATAACCACGGTTCCCCAAGTGTAGCTTGTGGTTATGCCATTGATACAGCAAAACCTGGAGCAGAAAAGCATGGCGGGAATCATAAATCATTGTAGTATGACCGTGGGTTTTTCTTTGACAATGGCGGTGAGTCATTAACTGCGAAACTGGCGCCCATAGCAGCGCTGTGACTATGCTGTAAAAGTTTCTTTGCCTCGATTGATGACCGCATCACCACGCAACGGATGTGACTTTACTATCGACAACGCCATTTCTTTTCATTTCCGCGCCATTCGTCCGATTTTTCCAGAAATTGGCGGCATTTTGTACTGAAAGGTGCGAAGAAACGATTTTGAGATAGAAAGGTGGGAGTTTCCGGACCCAATCGAGAGGTGGAGGGACCACAGCACCAGTTTTTAGACATCCCCATTGTCAGCTCAGAGCCTGTTCATACTTCACGATCCGGGCGCGCTAATCAAACGCTCGAGCGATTTGATCGCGCGATCCAAGCGATCGTAGAATGCGCTCTTATGGTTAGGCATAGCACAGCGCTGACGACCACAGTTGTAGCGAGTTCATCTCGTAAAGGCGAATAAGGCGCGCTCTCACGTAGCCTCCTATTTTGTTTCCCAGCAATTATTAGTGGGCACAATGGAAGGAAGCTACGAGATGAGTAGCTTAACCCTTTACACATTTCATTTAATTGCGTATCTTAACCTTTTACACATTTCGTTTGTTTTTGTATATCTTCAAGCCTTCCCGAGATTGAAAGGCCTAATAGCCCTACATTTTGGCGCGCAACGACGCAACGATGCTATTGGGGAGACATCCGGTTTCACAATAACTGTAATCATATCCATGCTCAGCACAGGGTAGTATGCCAGTTGTCTCAAATGGAAATATCCCACCAAAAAAAGTGTATCCAAATGAAGTATGCAGCCCCTTCCGTGTACGGGATATGGAGTGTATATAACTGAATTACCGTAATCGGCACTAACTGTTGCACTTAAAAGTCAAACTTAGTAGGAATAGCCAGCATTTCCTTTCGAATGGTGGACTAATGCCATGATGTTGCGTCTCATTAATTAGATAAAACTCGTGGTTGTGTGGCTTATCTTCGGTGTGTGAGCACCAAAAAAAGCAAGTCACATGCCCCACAAAAACTATGTCCGTTGATAATCAGCTGTTTTTTGATTTACTGTTTACGTTAATATGGGATGGCTCGAATAGCGAAACCGCAAAGAAAGAGTGACCCTGGGAACAGCTGATCGCCGAGAGACCCAAATGTTATGGAACGATGTTCGTTCGTCTGTCATTCCTTATTATCGTTTGGTTATGACGTATGGACACTAAAAATCGCATAAAAACTAGACAAACGACCATTTTTACTGTGGTTGTAAGAGATCTTCACTCGAATCAAAACCCGGCAAGCCGTTGGCTTTGTGGGCGGCCAACGAACGGTTAACTTCATACAGACTATTTTCCGTGAAGACTGTGAATCAGCCTTCAATTCAAACTCCGTAAATAGTGTCCCAAGTGGTCCCCTTGAAAAATTATGCAGCTTCACAGGTGTTTACAGGTCTGACCAAAGCGAGACCTGTTAGCTAAAATGAGCCAACACAAGGAACTAGCGAAATTGTAAAATGCCCACTCCAAGCCGAGCAGAGCCGAAATCCGTCCAAGAAGGAGGCCAAAAGAACCTCATTTTCCAAAGTTCTATTCTTTTCGGCCCGCTCACTGCCGATATCGATTAGTGGTTCTGGTTCCGAAAAAGGCGTTTCAAGGTCTGTTAGTGCACTTCTGCGAATGGCGCACCCTTTTCTAAGACTCGAGCTCTGATAAATCGAGCGGCCGAGTCGTTTGAAGTGTGACACTCCAATTATATTGATTTAGATTCCGAACTGTGGAAAGTCCGAGAATCCAGTTTTTTTACAGTCGTTTTACCCATATTTCGCGCCATATTGCAACCTTTTGAAGACCACTCTATTTTAGAAAGTACCGAAAGACAACCACTACTCATGAAAGGCTAAAACATATTTTTCGTTTGAAGGATTCGGCTCCTTGTACCCGCTCCGAAGTTCCCTCTCCCAGCCCTTCCCGGAAACCTTCGTCCCCAATTTCGCAATCGTTTCTTCGCATGCCCAACGTCCAACATTTGAAAAAGAAAATGGAGGGGAAATTCAACGCGCAACATTCCGTGGCTTTAAGCCGCCCACCAGCTCCGTTCGACTTGGTGAGGCATTTTGACCGATCACTACGATGCCTAGATCTGTGCATTCATGTACAGCTATGCAATGACAGGAGCTTCGTTTACACTTGACAATCAACAGGTTTCATCAAGGTGTAACGTGTAGTCTGACTGAAAGTAGCAGAAAAGACCAGCGGAAGTGCAAAATGCCCCTCCCAAGTAGAACAACGCCCGCCCATGTTTACGGTCTCCAGTCATCCATCTGTTTATGGTCTGTAATGTACACTATCCAGTCCAATCACATAATATTTGCAGGATAAATTACGAGCCTGTTACACTATTGCAACCGGTCACGAGTCTTCGGCCGTCCGGCCGGAAGTCACTTAGTAGGTTTTTATATTCTTTTTGCCACCCATGCAGGCATACCTGACGATTTTCCATCCTTTTTATTTGTGCAAATTTTATGTAACACGAGTATCTTGGCGAAATTATTCTTGCGTATTCTGGGCGCACTGGAATGGAACATTTTGCAATCGAATGCATTGTGAGGCACAGGTCAAAAATGGGCGCTGTTCGCGAAGAGAGGGGTGGGGGCGGTGCACTTACGCTAGCTTGTTTTGCCAGCTCCTGTTAAATTACACGCCACGTCTCGTTAAGACCTGTATACTCTGGTCAAGTGGAAACCAACCTCTACTATCCCACAGTTTTACAGAAAATTACAAGTCTGCACGGGCAGTG